TGGAAATTATTATACGTTTTTTTACTTTTCATTTCTTTTTTTCTCGATTTAATTCGATGTTACATTAAAATGTATATAACGAAATCATAATTTATTTATTTTTTAATTCTATTCACACGTAAAATTTCGTAATAAAAATCGTCATTAATTTTGTGCAATCATTCGTGGTCAGGTTTGTTTTATACCTCGGAGATAAATTTGAGAATGAGCATGTAGCGTGCTTAAGTAATTAATATTTAAACTTTATCTCGAACGTTTCTATGATACGAAGGCATCACTGACAAACAAATATAACTTTCTTCATATGGGTATTAAACAATTTAAAATGAAATCTACATCGTTTTGGATAACAATAAATACACCGAGACCACAGATTACTACTAATTTCGAATATTTATTGTTATTATTGTTATTATTATTATTTTGCTATAATATCTGAGAGAGAGATAAGTATTATTATTATTATTATAAATTATATCGGACGTTTTTTCTTTCCATACTTTTCACTACTAATAAAATATTAACACGTGTATTTCGCTTTTGTTTAACATAAAATACGTAAAACGAATAATCCAGACAAATAAACGAATGAAAAGTATCTTTCTATTATATATCCTTGCATTATCAAAATTACAGCAAGTTGGGGAAATGAAATGAAACGAAACGAGGGGATACAAAATGATTAATTAAAAATAAAGAAAAGAAAAGAACAAAAAAAAAAGAGATTGACTGTTTTAAGATTATACAACGAACATAACATTGTGGATTATTTCAAAATTATTATTATCATCAATATTAATATATTTTCGTGCAAACAAAAAATAAAAATAAAAATACTATTACATGTATGAAATATTTCTCCTCACTTTGTTTTTTATTTGAAATTTTATTTTTCTTATCTTTCATTCACACGAGGGAATTTTTTTCTTTTTTTGGGGGGGGGGGGGGAAGAAAATTAACCCTTCTTTGCATGATTTTTTCTTTTTTTTTTTTTAAAATAAATCACGGTGATGTAATTAATGCTCTAGATTAAAGGAAAAATATTTAAAAAAAATCCTAGTGCTATTTTTTGACAAGTGCGTTTTGTTGTACGCAATAGTCGCTTAAAAAGTTGCCAGCAACAACAAATATACAGTACAAGGGTTTTGAGTACCTTTTTTTGTTGACTAAATATTATGATTGAAATTTCCATCATCATGCAAAGAAGGGTTAAAGATGTTGTATATATCTGATATTTTTTATAATAAAATCCATGGGGTAGGTTGGAAGTGAGATGGATGGTATAGTTGGTATAGAAATGACGTAAAGTCGTAGAGAAATTAATGCGGTTAGCTAGAAAGCTGGCCAGGCGTGAAAGCGTTGCCGGACGCCTCGAAGTATTTCGGCCAGAAGTAACGACTTGATTCCGAAAGCTTTCGAGTGCTTTGGTCAGGAGAGGGCTAAGTCGTACCGTAAAGTTTGTATGAGAGACAGAAGAGGGGAAGAAGGAAAGAGGGATGAGGAAGAGGTAGAAGAAGAGGTAGCGTTGAAGTCTGGGCCCGTTAATGCACCGTAAATCGTGTTCTCTCTCTCACTCTCACACTCTCTCACTCTCTCTGTCTGTCTCTTTCTCTTTCTCTTGCTCTCTTCTCAACCACGGTAACCTGAACACGAAGAGACACTATGACCTCCGACCTCCGTCTTTGTGGTTTAATCTTACGTTTGAAGATGTGCTTCGAAGCTGATAATGAAATAATTTGAATATACACACACATACACATACACGTGAATGGATAAACGATATTTTGATAAGTAGATTAAGTTTGTATATTTAGCAAATAAAACGATTTTTATTTCGTGCTTCTTTTCGGATCTGTTTATTTATGATTTTATAATTATCATTTTGTTTTTTAAAATGTTCAATTAAAATTGATAACGAAATAATATTGATACTTGTTTAATAGATGAACGATACTTTGATTARTACAATTAAGTTTGTATCTAATTGTGATTATGGTTATTATTTCACTTTTTTTTTTCAAAATTTATTTTTGTTTTTAACCCTTTCGTTACTAATGAAAATTGCGGATCTCTTCGGATCTGTGTATTTATGATTTTATAATTATCATTTTGTTTTTTAAAATGTTTAATTAAAATTAATAACGAAATAATATTGATACTTGTTTAATAGATGAACGACACTTTGATTAGTACAATTAATTAAGTTTGTATTATCTAAATAATTCTGATAATGGTTATTATTTCTCTTCTTTTTTCTTTTTAAGATTTAGTTTTGTTTTTAACCCTTTCGTTATTTATGAAAGATATATATTATACTGAAAATATTTAATTTCGATAGTTTTTGTTTAAAACAATTACAAAGTAAATAAACATTAGGCAAAATTCAAATACTAATAAGAATATAAGATGTACAATGAAAGGGTTAAGGATTATTTTAACAAGTAAAACACGTTCCAACAATAGCAAGTATGAAATACTAAATTTACATAGACGTTCAATGGAGAACCGTTTACCCGACAATTTTCGTAAAATACCGTACGAATATACTGATTTTGTGTATTCTGGAAACCATGCTAACCAGCAATACTTTTTGTGCGAAAGTTGGCAGACGAAACGTAGAATCAATTTGTTCTATTCACATGAGAACTGCTATATCACTCGTCACTTATTCGGAAATGAAAAAAAAAAAAAACAAATTCAAGATATTCTTTAAGTAGAAATAATAAATAATAGATTTGTGAACAAATAAAAGTGTATTATATTCACGCGTATATATAACACACACATGTATACGCTTACGTGAATCAATTTACAAATTAGAATACTAACTTGTTTTCATGAAAGAAAATAATTTGATCAATCAAATTTATTCAATGATATATGATCGTCATATTCTTAATAACTTTTTCCCCCATTTTTCTGATACAAAAAAATAATTTCTCAATTACTGCGAAAAACAGACGATGTTGACGATATTTTCAATATTTTGTTATTCTTATCTTTTCATAATAAATCAAGTATCGCTTAAAACACAGAAATGATCACGCACACATAAACAACCGTATAACACAATGAAAATATACTTCCGTTAAAAATATTCTTTTGAAATATGAAATATAATCTTAGATGAAAAAAAATTCGGATTAATATCAAGTTTAATTTAAAAAAAAAAAAAAAGACAAACAATCAAACTCAATCTGATTCGCTATCAAATCAAATTATTACCGACACATTGTAATTACTAAAAACATAATAGTAATCGATAAGTTGATATTTTTTATCATAATAAAAAAAAAACACTATTACGTTATTTAACATTATTATTAGAATGATTTTCTTAAACGAATGTAAAAAGTTAGTAAAAATTATATGTGCAAAAAGTTATCGGTGTCATGAAATGGATCACATACTTAAAACTTGCATATGTTCACACACACATATATATGTATATACACGCATATACAATTACACAGTTTTTACTCGCTCGAAAACAAACGTGTTCTCGTTTTCTCGTTTAAAAAACAATGTCATAGTGGGTAGTAGAAACGTTGCAACGCGACGCAATTTTCTCCGAGGATCACCACTTTGTTGGAATACTTTGTTTTTCCAAGTAACTACGACGGGACTCGTCGTACATGTTGGAAAACGAAAGAACGAAGGGAGAGCTGAATGAAACAAAGAAAGAAAAAAAGAAAGAAAGAAAGACAGACATAAGGAAGGAAAAGAAGAAAGTTGTGTGTTAGATATTACCAACGTGTATATACGTGCACACAACAAATATGCACACTACTGCAACGTAACGGAAAAATGAAAAATAACCGAAAAACAAAAAAAAAGAGGACAAATAAAACAATGTAACGAAAAAAAAGGCGTCGCAGAGTGGGAAACAAAGAAGAAATACTTTTTCCTTCGAGGCATTTCTTCTTTTCCTAGGCGATGATAATTAGGCTACTATACTGCACTATCACTCATGCTACTTTTGAAAATGAAAGCAAAGCAAAGGCAAGGAGAAAAAATCCCCCCCCAAAAAAAAAAAAAAATCGCGAAAAGTATAATAAAAAGGAAGGAAGAGTGAAAATGAGAAAAATAAAAAAGAAACAAAGGATTTTTATGCACACACACCCACCCCCACCGGTGTGTTTATTATTATTATGCATCCTGAAGAAAAAAAAATCTTAAAAATTTTCATAGTTTCATAGAGATAAATCTGTGAACCGTGATATTATAGGTCTTACGAAAATGTCGACTAGTTAAGAATGAGAGTATGATACTTTTCCTGTCTCATCACGGGATCATCTCCCACACTCAAATCACGCCTCGTTTTTTCCGCAACGTATATATACACATCATAGTTCCCCCCCCCAAGTGAAATGAATTCTAGCTAATTCTAGCCACGCAAACGTTGGTGTAGGCTAGAAGAATGGGAAAATAGTAAAAAAAAAAAAAAAAAAACAGGGTGATGATGGTGGTGGTGCTAGATCTTCTCTTTATTCTTATGAGTTAGAAAGAGACAAAAAAAGAAAAAAAATATTTTCTCTCGCGTTATTTGTCAAGGTGGTCTTTTCTTTTTTTTTTTTGGGGGGTACTTTCCCCATTGTCAGAAAATTTTCTCAACGACGGTGAAGGTGGCCGGAAGTGGAATATGGAAAAACGGGGTTTTGAATTTAAAAAACAAAAGAAGAAAAAGAAAAGAACGGGGATAAAAAAAACAAGAAAGGGGAGAGGAAAAAAACGTGTATGGTGGAGTCGTATTATAGAACAGGAATCTTGGCGAGTTGCCGATGGGAAGGCAAGAAAAAGGCCGGGAACATGAAGAAACAACGTGTTCGATGGGGAACGATGGATCTTGTAGTCGTTCATCCTCGCGTGTTCTTTTTGGCGACCACCAACGGTGAAGTGACGACAACGCGACAACGAGAAAAAGAAAAACTGACACGCGACTTTATGTGAAAGAAAAACAAAAAAAAAAACAGAAAAAGATTAAGGGGAAAGTTTCTCACCTGCTACGAGGATAAATACGAGTGCTGCTTTTAGCCACAGGTGTCGAGCCATGTCCGAAATTCTATATCAAATCTTTGTTCCCGTTGTGTAGTGTCTTCCCCGTTTTCGTCAATTATTTTTTTAAATTTACAACAACGACGACGAACTTGACTTAGAACTTTTGACGCACACTTTTTTCCTGTGTGTGTTTTTAAAAAAATTTTTCTTTTTCAACCAAATCTTTCTCGTGTCAATATTAAAGATGTGAGAAGACACACTCTTGTTTTTTAACACACTACCCCACCACTGGCGTTGTAAATTTGTTTTCGTTATATTTTAAATTCAATAATACACATAAATAATTCACCCAACTTTTTATTTTTTTTTTTGTTTAATATTGTCTTCACTTAACGTTTCATTTAATCCATGTAAAAATGAAATCAAACAACAGTGAAGAGGAGGAGGAGGATGTATTTAACAAATGAACAATAATATCAACGATGGCCTTGTGTTTAGTTAGACTGAAATGCACACGAGTAATAATCGTCAACTGTCAAACTTTCCTCCTTCCCTTTCCCTCTTCTTCTTCTTCTTCTTCACTCACGATCGTTCCGTATGAATGACACCACCCTCTCACAGGACCGATAGGAGAGTATGGTGGTGGAGTAGTGAGGAGAGGAGAGGAGAGGAAAATCGGACACGCAAGGCGCCTGACCGACCGCCAAGACGGCGGCGATTCGAATAATTCTTCCCTTAAACAACACAACACACTTTACTATTTTTTATCAACTTTATACAACAAATAATCCCTCATTGAAAATATCCAATTAAATGTATCCCTCTCTCTCTCTCTCTCTCTCTTCCAATCCCCACGTGTTGTTTCGTTTTCTCTCAATTCACCTTTACACCCTTAATTTTTCTTATAATTCTTTTTTATCGTTCTTCTTTGTAAAATAAAAAAAAGAATATTAATAATAATAATAATAATAATAAAAAAAGGGGTTTCGGGGGGGGGGGAAAAAAATAATACAGAAAGATCTTTTTTAACACAGTTATCTATCACTGAAAAAATAATCGATTCGTACGTTGGCAATGCCACTGACAAGAGTACGAATATCGCGATTTCCCGAGGATGGGACTTTAAGGAGCGTTGACAGGGTAATTGAACGTATATCTGCACTGGATTGCAACGAACGAGACTGAGCGTCGCCGCGCGAAGCAGTTCCGTCACGAGCCGCGCATGCGCAGACCGCCCTAAACTATCCCCACCAATCTCAACCCTATGAGATACCGAAATCCCCCACCCCCCGTTTCCCGCCAACGACGCACGCTCTGCTACACTTTATATCCTTTTTTTCTTTTTTTATTTTTCTTTCTCTCTCTCTCTCTCTCTCTCTCTCTCTCACACTCTATATTTCTATCTCTTTCTCTCTCTCTTTCTCTTTTCTTCTTTCTCCGTCTTATTCTTATTCTTCTTCTTCTTCTTCTTCTTCTTCTCTTACTATCCCACGATCTTCATCCTATCCTTTAGCAACATCAAATCGCACACGCCGTTTCTATTCCACACCTTTCCTTTACCAAGGTGTGCCCCTCCCTCCCTCCTACTCCTCCTCAGTAAAGAATGTCCAACCAAGAAGATAAAAGAGATATGTGATTAGTAAGATAATCAATGGAAATTATATAATGCGATATAATTTTTATATTATATATTATTTAAGATTCAGATCATTATTTTCTATTTCTTTTATTTTTGTATTGTCTTTTTTAACAAATCATTATTGGGATTGTTATAATAAATTAGAATATTTGAAAGTAGATCGAAGGTTTGAAGTTTAAATTTAAATGACTTTTATGAGATATTATTTTAGATAAATGTTTCTTTTTTTTGTCTAACCAAGAAGATACAAAAGATATGGGATAGTAAGAGAATTAATGGAAATTA